GGTATGCCTAGAATACCTATACATACATACATTCTTATCATACACTGGCTGAACTCACGGCCATCGTCAGCTTTGGGTTAACCATCATACACGATGTGATGAGACAAGTGGGTGAATCAATGGATGTATCCTTACCTGCCAACCTACCCATACCACCGACAAGACCGACGATAGTTTTCACCTATCATCAGGTACTCCGACTCGGACAATGCTTTAAATAAATAAATAAAAAAGAGGCTTGCAGCGGAGCATCTTCCTCCAATAGCATCATGTTATGTAAGATAAGACGCGAACCCGGGATAGCCTATAGCGTTCCGGGTTTTCGCGGAAATGCGGTGAATCGGAATGTCTTTTAGCGAGCAAGCGAGCAACCACACAGCAACCAGCACCGACAGACAACATTCCCCGGTTGAGTCTTACATAGTAACATAGTATATAATATGTAGTTGTCGTCCGATGTAATGAGGGGAATGTTGCCTAGGTAAGTGGTATACAGATGCGATGTCATGTGAGGTTAAACGACATTTTTTTACTTAATAAGAATGCACACTCTGGGGCAAGGCACCTTGCTGTCGACATCCCGCAGCTAGTTATTGGTGCTTTTGATAATTGAGGCTATTTTTATTTTCTCTCTTTACGAAGTAACTACCAACTTCAATATTCGATATAAATTTATCTTTTTTTCTCCTCTTTGCTTTTTCTTTTTTTTTTTCATGGCAACGGATATTGACCGTAGAGACTCCGAAGAATACTAGGTAGGTATTAGGTAATTATTGATGCCACCCTGCCAGTGTAAACTTCTCTCTTAATAGTTCGGGTTACGGTATGGTTATGTGATATAGTTATGTGTCAGGAGAGTTGAATACCTTGGATACAGTGCCTAGCTATGTAGGTAAGGCGAGGGAGGTATCCTCTTTGCGCCGCAGTTCTGCCACATCTTTCCTCCCCCCCTCCCCTCCCCTTCCCATCCATCCTTCCGCTGGCTCAGACGCAAGCAAGCAAGACATGCATCCCGCACTTATAATAGAATGTTCGGGAACTCCCGGGCAAGCGCGGCGTAAAAAATCCTGCGGGGGAATACACGACAGGTCAAGTCTCCCGGCGGATTGCCCAGCCCTGCCCTGCCGAACGTTTGGGCAGGTTTAGGTCTAGGTTCCCGGGCGGTCATAGCCGCGCTCGGAGTATGTAAGGAAGGAATGTCTGCATAGTGCTTAGTAGTAGATTAGGTACAATACCTACCGTCGAGAATCCATCGTGGTTCAGCTGCTGAATAAACTCTTCTGCCTCGAGGATGAGCTGGGATTGATGGATAGATGGATACCAAGCTGGCTGGCTGGATGGCTGGATGGCTTGGAACAGGGTGGTTTCTGGTCAGCGCCTACATACCTGCGTGCTACGGAGAGGGGGAAATACATGTTAGTTACTTTACTTTACCCCTTGGCCTACATATAACTAAGGGAAGTTCCGTGTCAATTCGTAGAAACCTTGAAGCCGCCGCCGCTTTTCATGTAATCGTGGTTGCTGCGCCGCTTCGAATCTCTTAAGTGCCAGTAGAGGATAGAGGAGGTATGTACATGCATTACTCATCGACCTACCTAAGTCCTACACATTAGTTATACCTACCCAGGTACTGTAGCAATGCCAAACCGAGCATTCCAAAGTCCACATTAAACCTATAACTACCTACTGCTCCTTAGCAAACTATAAGTTGCGATGTAGGCAGTTAGTTACAACACCGGCAATGCCAGCTGACTGTGTGTAAGCAGGTCTGCGGCAACCGCTGTAGTTACTTAGTTATATGCATAGATAGTATGCACTACTAGGTTAGGTATCCCGTAGGTAGGTAGGAACCTATCCCCGTGGGGTCTTGCGCAGAGAAGGCTTTCCGTGCCGCGGGAAAGGATTCTCTTCGACGGCTAGTTTCTGACGGAAGCCGTCTATATAAAGCATATACGGGCTCGGAGATGGGGGGCATATATGCCTAGGTAGGCAGATAGGTATACAGGGAAGCAGACATGGATGTTCTGTAGGGTGTATCTCTACCTTGGAGGTTCTAGAAGGGACAGGCCGTTGTTTGGTAGGTCAAGATTAGGTTCGAGAATCGTTAGCTATGTGTTAATCCCTACGTATAGTATAACCGCTCACGTGCTTCTTATGGGAGGTGTTAGCAAGGAAGCCTTCCAACGCGGTTGTCGTAGCCAGCCAGTAGGTGCCTGATACCTACCTAGACTAAGAAGATAAAAGGGGAGTCTCATCTTGATGGTGTGGACGATATCAGAAACGGCAGCACCGAAATATTCGAGTAATCCTTGGATTGAGGCAGTAGGCTAGGTACTTAGTAATAGACACGTACTTAGCTAGCGTCACTTATCAGAACTACTCTTCATCCCGACTCCTCTTAAACTACGTAGGCTCTTCGCTTACTTCACCCCTATTATGTTAAGTTCGTATATCTTAGTCATGCTATTACACTGCCCCTCCGCCCTTCCCCGGAGGCGTGGAGAGGACTCCTCGGTTTATAATGCTATACCTCGATATGGTAGCTAGAGGTTAGAAATCGACCCCCCTTATTTGAGTACAGTCGGTATAGGGGTTGAAATCAGGTCTTAGCAGCGGTGGAAGTTCGGGATGATGTAATTTTATAGCACGAGTATAGGGGTATATTGGTATCGGGATGAAGAGGGTGTCACATCTGCGAGAAACGCTCTGGCGGGTTGAGTTATGTGTTATCCTATTATGTAAAGGGCATCGTTTGCAGGTGGTAGGCAGTATAACAATCTCGTAGCATGGGTAGGTGCATAGCTAGGTAGAGTATAAACGAGTATTCACGTCATAGCGAGGTTCCTAGATCTAGAGAGATGGTATATGTGACACTTGCCCGAGACAGCGGCATTTCTGTCCGTCTGGACTAATCACATCGTAAGTGTGAGATGATTTGCCCAGGCATATTATAAGGCCAAGAACACATGCTGCAGTCTGGCATCATATAGTAAAAACATCACGATACCTAGGTAGTTCCCACTGTGCTTCACCCACATCCAAGAAACACGGCCCGACTCCCTACTCATCGCCCGATTCTCAGGCACCAGCATCCGAGTAATGAGTATAGAACCCCCACCACAACATCCGCTCGTTTAATACCTAGGTAGGTAATGCTACTAGGTAGGCATAATAGCCTCCGTGGCAGGGTGCGACCTGCCTAGACGTTAGATTGGGAAAGAAAAAACACATGGAGCCACTGTCGGGTGAAACCATGCGGCTAAATGCGCGCCAACGTCGTAAGTACGACGTCCGCTATCCCGGTGTTGCGGAGGGCGCCCCTGGCGGCGGACCTGTGCGGTCGACGTCAGCGGTATCTCGTTTATGGGTAGAGACTACCCATGTCGTGCATTTTTCGCTACTAGAGTCACCCTTCCCTCTCCTAGAACGGCAACCCAAACATATCCATCGACGAGGGAAGGGGTGAGGGAAAGGGGTGGAAGGGCTCTGGAACGATGGAATTATTCCGGTGATGTTACATTAGGAGGGATGCTACGTATGATCTTGATGAGAGGATAGGATAATATAATTTTATATTAAAATGTGTAGGTATCTATGTGTGCGATTTATGATTAAGGTACCGTGGAACAGTGACCTTCGCCGTGGACACTCAATTGAACGGGATGTGACTGAGTGCTGCTAAGTACTATACGGATATACCGATGTCACACTGATGCCCCTGGGGGTTAATAATGCCGATAATTCTCTCCTCGTATTGTATCGTGTAGGTGGATGTCTTCGTTGCGAGGAGTTTGGGCTATGTGGCCTTGTATGTAAGGAACCAGGGACGTCTGAACATTAGAGCTACCCTGATCAGACAGCTTAAGAGCCGGCACCTCAGAAGCGATGATATGAGACATATTGTTATAGATTAACATGTGCCTCATATAGGATACAAGCAACTGTGCTGGATATACTTGGCCCCCTTTCTAAACATCGCAACTCCAAGCGAGAAGATCGCCGTATCACAACGTCACTATTTGACATATTTAAGTTGTCCAATCGACTCCTCTGGACTTGTGACGAGGACGAGACTGGAAAGCGTTCCTTGCTGATGATCGACGGGGTCCACGTTTTCTTTGGACAAATAGCATAAGGGCTGGGAAAGACAGCAAGCGACATAGTAACCCAATCCATCCCTTGCTGCCCAAAGAGGCCTAGACAGCCCAAAGCGCGACATCATTATGGCTTCATGTCAGGCTCTGTGGTAAGGGTGTCGGAGTTGGGCGATTTGACGTAATAGCCATGTGATATATCCGTGTTGATTGACGAGACAACGTTATATCGTTTCGAGTATTGCTGAATTGGCGCGGAATAGGCATAAAAGTTTGGTGCCGATGAAATTGGTCCATCCAAGTTCCACGAACCCATAAACTAAACGAAGAAGGGCTATATCTCAACTTTCGCACCTATTAAAATAGGGTCGACACCAATGCATGATGAGTCGTGATATACGGAGATAGAAATATTCCTCAGCCTAGCCTTATTGGTCTTGGCGGGATCGTATTCGCTACTTTGCTTGTCGCTCAGTGACCTCCTTCCCTCAGACTATCTGCCTGAGAAGAAGCAATTGGTGGTAATAGTATGGCCGTAAAAGGCTTGAAGACGGGATCTCAAAGGCTACACCATGGAGAGGTTGATATGTCTACGGTCGTCCTCGAGACAATATATAACTACTGTTGGAGAGCGGCTTGTCATCATGGCATCTGCTGAAGTCTCTTGGCCTGGGGTTGCAAATGCACAAGGCACATGAATTTAAGGCTTGCGTAGTTAGGTGGGCACCTAGAGCATTCGGAGGGTTGCCCAGGAGGTCGCGGTTGGGCCCGTGGAGACTCAGAGGAGTGGTATGCTGTCAAAGCTACCCAAGGACTGGATTTCGTAACCACCAGCAATCGTCTCTCAAAACCAATACAGGCGGAAATATAGAGGTGCCATTGATCGTAAAATGAAGGCATATAAGCCTAGACTTTGGTCCGCTTACTCCTCCTGGTGGGTGGTACGTTCTCAGTAGTCCGAGTTTCAACCTTGATCGTTTCTACTGCGGCAACTCGGGTCCTTTTCCGTGATCGAATAGCAGGTGCACTAACAATAGTAGCCTTCTCAAATTCTTCAACTTCGACCTTAACCTCTTTCGTTCCCTCAATTTCGACTTTGACCCCTTTCGCTTCAACTTCGGTCTTGCCTGATGCCTGTCCTGAAAAGGACTTCAAGTTTGCGGTGAAAAGGACAGACTGAGCCCAGCCGGCTTGATCACCCCATATCTTTCGAAAATGATCGCCCACTGAGTCGTACATAGCTTTAGAGAAGGTTTTCGTCTTGGACTTTCCAAACTTATAGTCCCTCTGAGCAATCTGCCACACGTGTGTGTCTACCGGAACTGCCTCTCCCCATCCAAGACCCATCAAGCATACACAGTCTGCGACTTTCGGTCCAACCCCCGTGAGGAGTAGGAGTTGTTCGTGGGCATATTTATAAGAGGGTGGCTCTTTGTCGCTGGATGTCTCCGTCACTGGCCAGCTGGGGTTCTCAGGGTTGGTCAAACTCTCGAGCCAACCTTCTGGCTTTTCCGCCGAGATTATGCGGGCCGTTTCGGCGATATATTTTGCTCTGTAACCAAATCCTAGTTCTCTGAGATGAGACTCTACCTTCTTTCCACTCAAAGCCTGGGGTGTTGGAAAGTCATGGAAAGCTTCATCTCCAATGTGTCCAATTAAGGGCCCGTAGTATATACAGAGCTTATGGACCTAGTAAGAATTTAGTATAGGAGACTGTCACGGAGAGACAAAAGCAGTTGTTATGACAAACCATCTGGGAAATTCGAGATATGTTGTTGTTACTGCTGCAGATGAAAGCTATTAGGGCCTCCCATGCATCCTGGCTTAATATTCGAATTCCTGTGAATTTCGGGGCCTTCTCTCGAAAGTTAGAATCGGACTCAGACCATTGATTATATAGCGCCGTCACTACGAGTAAAGTTAGCAACTTGCATTTCAAGTATCTGGCATTCAGAAACGAGCTGAGCCGGGATGTAGAGTCTGCTTTGTGATTGGATATTTTATCAGACATTCAGGGGTAGGTCATGTGACCTCTAGATAATGGGATGTGGTTGACTTTGTGATTGTTGGAATGGGCATACAATCATATTTCAAGCTAAAATAATGCCTTAGAAGGGATTCGGTATCATTATCGTGGTGAGGTTCGGGTTCATTTTTAGATGACAATGGCCTTGCCAATGGTGTTGAAATTGCTGGGACATGTTTAGATGCGACCACTTTATAATGAAGGTGTGTCTTGTCCTGCTTCAATGAGAGTAACCGGCCATGGAGAACGCAGTTCCTAGTAGTATATTTAGCGATATATATACACAACCATCTACACGCAGGAAGAATTCTTTACCATTCATCATTTATCTTACGCCATCGAAATGACTGTCCGCAGCGAAGAGTAGTCTCAATGCATAGATCAGCTAAGCTTAAGGGGAGCTTTCGCCATCCAGACAAATTCACAGGAGACATCCTGTTTGTGTGAGATTATGGACGGATTATCGGATTATCGATTGAGTTTATGTACTACTAGTACATGTGAGAATCTAGGTCGACGTTATATGTAGCCTAGTTAACGTCAACTATATGTAGCTGTATAAGAAGAAAAAGAGAAATGATTCGGCGAATGGATTTAGAAATACAATTAGAAATACAATAAAACGTGTTTAAGTACTATGTACATAATAATTACTCTTAAAAGGTACACACTTGAAGTTAAGGAGGCTCTGACGAGAAAAGGTGGATCCATCCTGCTTAAAGCTTAGATGTGCTAACCTAAACTCTGCACTAACCTACACCAGGCTTAGACTCGTCGTACAAACTGTACTTACATGTATGTACTACTACTAGTACATGTATGTAGGACCAACCAAAATTTCTTATTTTTTTCCAGCCTCGCCGCAGCTCCACTATCAATCAACAGCTCAACCTTCTTGCGGTAGAGCTCGATATTTTATTTTATTTTATTTCTTTCAATCCTCTCTACTCTTCACATCCTTTCAACACGTCGCAACTCAAGGCGTGCTATCACAATTCCCTCGTGCCACTCAACCTACAATCCTGGATTGAACTTGCAGGGGTTTGAATTAATTGAACTCAATTGACATCATTATGAACGGCGACAGCTATTCTTCACGAGGTAAAGAATTTCCATTATTCCATAATCTATCATGGTATCTCCAAGCACAATGTACTAATTGATTTTTCTTAGATGGCCGCCATGGCTCATCTCGTGATTATCCTCGTGATGATCGCCGAGACCGAGGTGATCGACGCGAACGAAGACGAAGTAGATCCCCACGTCGGTCGCACCGCGACGGAAGGGATGAGGACGCTTATGCCTCGAGCCGTAGCCATCGAGACCGCGAGCGCGAAGATCGATATGGAGGAGCCGCAGCCGCAGTAGGAGTTGGCGGTGCTGGAAGAGATCGCAGAGACCGAGAATGGGATCGCGACCGAGGCTCGAGAAGGGACGGTCGTCGCGACGATGTGGGCCGACCTCCTCGACGTGACCGCGACTTATTTGAAGATCGACGTGGAGACAGACGGGACCGCGACCGTGGTGACCGTGGTGACCGGGGTGATCGAGGCGATCGAGGCGCCGATCGGAACCGTGACGATGACCTGTTCGCCCAGAATCGTCGTGGCCGTAGCCCAACGCCGCCACCCAAAAAGCGCGAACCGACCCCAGATCTTACCGACATTGTTCCTGTACTAGAGCGAAAGAGACGTATGACGCAATGGGACATCAAACCCCCCGGCTACGAGAATGTTACCGCCGAACAAGCCAAGCTTTCTGGCATGTTCCCCCTACCAGGCGCACCGCGTCAACAACCTATGGATCCTACGAAACTACAAGCATTCATGAATCAGCCCGGTGGTGCTGTAAACAGCGCTTCCTTGAAGCCAGGAAATTCTCGACAAAGCAAGAGACTTATCGCCTACAATATCCCTCCAGGTTCCACCGAGGAAAGCATTATGGGCTTTTTCAATCTTCAGTTGAATGGCCTTAACGTTGTTGAGAGCACCGACCCATGTGTTTTGTGCCAGATCTCCAAGGACCAGTCCTTTGCTCTCCTCGAATTTCGACACGCTTCGGAAGCTACTGTTGCCCTTGCCTTCGATGGTATCTCTATGGAGGCTGACGATGGAGCAAACGGTGCTGCCAATGGCAGCAAGAGTGGCCTGAAGATACAACGGCCAAAGGATTACATTGTCCCAGCTATTGCCGAGGATATACCATACAAACTAGGAGAGGTTTCCAATGTTGTTATGGATACTCCGAACAAGATTAGTCTTGCTAGCTTGCCACCATATCTTACCGAAGAGCAAGTCATGGAGCTCCTAACATCTTTTGGTGAACTGAAAGCCTTCATCCTAGTCAAAGATATAGGAACGGAAGAATCACGCGTAAGTCATTTGTAGAGCAAACTTGCTAGGCTTTAGTTGATCTAACATTGAATAGGGCGTCGCCTTTTGTGAATTCGTTGAGCCGGGTGCAACAGAGATCGCCATTCAAGGCTTGAACGGCATGGTCATTGGCGACAAGAACCTGACAGTAAAGAAGGCCAGCATCGGCATTACCCAAGTAGCTGGTGTTGAAATGGGCGTCAACGCCATGTCTATGCTCGCAGGAACTACTGCCAGCGACTCGGAAGAGACACGAGTGTTGCAGCTTTTGAACATGGTAACACCGGAGGAGCTGATGGACGGTGATGATTACCAAGGTAAGACTGCCCCACGATTCTGTACATTTGGTACATTAGACCTTTACTAACCATACTAGAAATCTGCGAGGACGTTCAAGAGGAATGCTCCAAGTTTGGCCAGGTAGTAGACATCAAAGTGCCACGACCTACTGGAGGTAGCCGACAATCGGCAGGAGTGGGAAAGATATTCGTCAAGTTCGATACCACGGCATCTGCAAAGAAGGCTTTACAAGCCCTTGCAGGTCGAAAGTTTGCCGACAGAACTGTGGTAACGACATATTTCCCAGAGGTAAGGATGTTCATTCCTGGTGCTCTTGAACAAAGCTAACTTTTATACACAGGAAAACTTCGAGGTAGGAGCGTGGTAATGAGAAAGGAAAGTTGGGCTGATCTAATGATGCGGCGGCGCGATACCGAAGGGATACGAATTGCGGATAGGCCAGGTTAAGGTATCACGGAGACTCGCAAAATTGTAACTTGTAACAACTAAGGTGACTGATGGGAGACGATGCATACTGGCGAAATGAATTTGGAACATTCCTCGGGTTCATCACCGTCGATTACGTTCATCATTCATTTAATAAGCAGTATCAGTCGTTCTGGTTCCTTGCAAGAAGCATCAGTTAGCCAAAAACAACATTGTCCAATGGTGAAATTTGCCATCTGACTTAATGAGTTATGTACCTAGGGATGCATTGCCGAACAACGTCAACGTTACTAAATGATAGTCATTTTCCGACCAATGCTCTATTCCATTCTATGCCAGAGCCGAATAACCTCACATTCTGGATGAGCTATTCATGATTTGATCCATGCTCTGTTATATCATATGTATCATCGATGCATAGGGCATACACATGTCAGGTATAATAAACTACTGAAGACCAATCAGTACGTGTTTGCCGCATATTCGTGATTTGGCAATGGAACATTAGCGTACAATGACTGCAATATTACGTAAAGCTGATCTGTATTTCTTGTGTAGTATTTGCCTCGTTGCTTACTTACCTAATTGTAGAGAGTGGCACAGTATCATTGAATATATATATATATATATATACTAGACATAAGACAGCTTTCGATGGGATTATATTCAGCTGCGTATTGTTATATGCCACACACTTCTACTGCTAGCTCTTTGAAAGCTGGCATTTAGACGGAGTACACGAATAACCAACCGTATTTGGACTCATCATGTCTAAGTTATCATTGACAGAGTATCTGACTTCAAGTCCCGAGGTACCGGATATTTATGAGCGGGCTACACGAACAGAGTTTCTTAGTCTCGCCGGCCAAGGACGACTACCTTCTGAATTGCTCAGCCAATGGCTATCACAGGACCGGCTCTATGTCCAGGCTTACATCCGATTTGCGGGAGGGCTGATATCTCGGGTGAATCTATCAGCAAGGATAGACGGCGAGGATGCCTCGAAGGCTATGCACTGGCGCATCCTTTCATTGCTACAGACCGCCCTTGCGGGCGTCATGAGGGAACTGCAGTTTTTCGAGGAAGCCACCAAGAAATACGGGCTGGACCTCGACACCCTAGGTCCAATGGCGGTAGGCTTTGCGCCTAACAAAGTGACGCAAGATTATATCGACCTGTTTGACTCTTTCACCGCGCAGCCCCAAGGTAACCCATCCAGGACGCTCCTAGACGGGCTGGTCGTCCTCTGGACAACGGAGAAAGTCTACCTGGACGCTTGGACGTATGCAAAGCAGCAGCAGCAGGTTGCGGATGAAGAAGAAGACACTGCCAGTGATCTTGACGGTGGGGCGCTGAGAAAGGAGTTCATCCCTAACTGGACCTCTGAACAATTTCAAGCATTCGTGAAGGAGTGTGAGGATTGTCTGAATGCGTACGCTGCTATTCAGGTTGTGGATACGGAGGAAGTTGGTGCTGCGACTGCTATGTCGCTCTTCAAGAAGGTTTTGGTTTTGGAGGAGTCATTTTGGCCGATGGTTGCTTGAGGATGATCAGGTTGTTGCCCCTTTTCTGGTATACTAGGTGTAGATAGTTAGACATGATATTGCTTTAACAGAAGAATTGGGTAAAGGGTATCTACTATCTAACTAATTGAATAATTTGAGTTAATTGATCTTATTGAAGGTTTGTTAGCATCAAGGCTAACGCCCCCACATTGTGGAATTGGAGGGCAATTGTCAGGGCAACAAGGGAAGCTACCATCAAAACAGTCAACAAGGTGCAAGGATTAAAGCATAAGTGTAATGCACCTTTTATTTATTTAACCCAAAGCAGGTCACTCCACATGCCACATGTCGCCAATTGATTTCTTCAACTTCAACAACGGATTATACTAACACTGTAGGTCCTTTTTGGTTTACAAAAGACTGGTCATTAATTATCGCCATTGTCATTATTGTCACCATTGTCACTATTGTCACCATTGTCACCATTGTCGCCACTGTCGCCATTCAATAAATTATATACCAACCCAAAATGGCTGCCGGCGATCTCATTGATTTCGACATCATTGAGGGGCAGAAGGAGAATATTCAGTCCTTACCCGGTGGACGATCAGCAAAGAAACTTGCTGAAGTTTTCTCTCCTTCCCCTCTGCACAAACTTTCCACACCTACACCTACAGATACAAAAAACATCAACGACTGCATTCGAGCCGAATACGAGGAAGAAGTAGCAAACCTTTCCGAGTCGGATGACCCACTCGATATCTTTGATCGATACGTTCGATGGACATTTGACGCATATCCGTCTGCGCAAGCTACACCAGCATCACAACTACACACTCTTCTCGAGCGCGCCACCAAAACTTTTATTGGTTCTGCGCAGTACAAGAATGATCCTCGATACCTGAAATTGTGGCTTCACTACATCAGATTCTTCTCCGACTCCCCTCGAGAGACATATGTCTTTTTGTCGCGTCACAACATCGGCGAAGGACTTGCTCTATTCTACGAGGAATACTCTGCTTGGCTAGAAAGCGTGGGCCGCTGGGCGCAAGCCGAAGAAGTATATAAACTGGGCATCGAGCGCGAAGCGAGACCGGTGCAGAGATTGGTCCGTAAATTTGGAGAGTTTGAGCAAAGGCGCGCGCAACAGCCCGACGCGGATAACGCCCCGGATTCACCAGCGCTACCTTTGATGCGGCCAGCGCTCGCTGCTAAGATTGATCCTTTTGGTGCTGCGGCGCGACCAGCTGATCCCCAAGCTCCTAGGCCAACCAGCGGTCTCGGCGGGCCGTCCTCAAAGCCCGGAAAGGCCAAGCTTGCTGTGTTTTCGGATGCCGGCTCTGAACCGAGCGCAATGTCAAAAATGGGCGAGGGTTCAAAGGGATGGGATTCAATAGGGTCATTGGCGGATCGGAAGAAGGAGAACGTGGTGGAAGCAAAGCCTTGGGTGGGAGAAACATTGACGACGCATGTGAAGAAGAGCAGCGGTCTAAAAATGGCCGTGTTCCGGGATCCTGTAAGTCAATAGTTCCTCCTTCATGTGGCAATGCCCGTTTGTTGATGATAACAGGACTAATTTGTGGTAATTGCGCGGTCTTGTATTTCAGTCTTTGTCCAGAATAGCAGAGTCTCATATTGTCATTGCACCATCAAAGCACCAAGTGATTGTGAATCAAAACGGTAAAAGGGAACGTGTCTTTGTTAACCTAGAGGCCATTTACCCAACTCCCGAGGAGCCAGGAACCGAACTCAGTTTCGAAGAGCTTTGGGCTGCTAATCGAGGTTGGCTTGATGTGTGCTGGCAAGATGACATCCTCGACGAAGAACAGCCAGGACCGGCCAGTGGACGACCATCAGACGTAGACTTCCTCGGTCAAAAAATGGCAAGCAAATTGGTGGTACACCACGATGCGGCAATGCTGGACGAAAATGGTGCGGTCAAGGATCAGCCCAGATCTAGCAAAAGCAAAAAGAAGAAGGTGATGGAGGTTAACGAGACCCAAATTAGTCAGTTCACGCCCGAACAAGTCCATTGTTTACTCAAGCCCCTGAAGAATAAGACCACTGATTTTTTCTATTTCTTCAAATAGTCAAAGCAAAATTAGATTCACCGTCTGGCAAAAAGCTCAAGAAGAAAACCGCTTCTGCAAACTCCGAGCCTACTATGACGATGCATACCAGAGCAGCAACAGACGAGATCTACGACATCTTCAACGCCCCTCTCAAACCCGCAGATGCAGAAGAGACTGAGGAGAGTGATGAAGAAGGATATATGACAGATGGCGACTATACTAGTGGTGGAGAGAGTGTTAACACTACTAGAAGAATCTCTACAAGTGAAGCTGGCGACGATGAGACTTCCGATGCAAAGAGTGTGAGTGAATGGTCAGACTTCACGGCACAGAAGCATATTCCCAAAGTTGACGGTGAAACCGACAACGAGGAAGAAGATGATGAACGGAGCGAATCTGATGATCCTGAGGATGAAGATGATGAGGACGAACTTCCGAGGACTAGATTTATCCCCATACCACCCGAGGATTATGAAGCACCTACACGACCGTATAGGGATCCGGCCGAGGTAGCTAACAACCGCCTCCCGTTTATGACACCTATTACGGAACGTACAGAATCCTCTCTTGGGGTTATTACTGGAACTAGACCTCAATATGCCACTACGAAGACGACTAGCGGGGAGGACGATCTAGAAATCGAGGAGGATGAGGATGACGAGGAATTTGAGCCGTTGAGTAGTCCTTTGCGGGAGGTTCTTAGTGCGAATCGGTCTCCGCCCAAGATTGCACAGCCGCTGCTCAAGGCAGTTGCAAAGACAGTCATTCCTCCGAGCCAGGTGAAGGTCAAGGAGATACCAAAGGGTCCGATTATCAAAGAACCGCAAGTTAACCCTGTCGACGCAATTGTCCGAGAAGAGATTCTCTCTCGTATGCACCCACCTCTTAGCTCATACTCCGGCTTCTATGACCACCGTAGCGAGCGATTTGACAAAGGCAGCGAAATCCGAAAGTTCGTCAAGTCTGTGGCCAAAGCATCAGGAAAGAAAGACGGGGAAAAGACTGGTACGATTCAGAGTCCGGTTGTGCTCGACTTCCCCGAACTCGTAGGCGAGTACACCGTGAAGCGAGAACTAGGTGCAGGCGCATTTGCACCGGTGTACTTGATTGAGAACTCATCCCCCGACCCCGATGAGAACGACGAGAACGCCCCAGCTGCCATGGGAAAGGGCGCCTTTGCCACCACCCACCGTGCTAGTCTGGAGGCCCTGAAGATGGAGCAGCCGCCTACGGCATGGGAATTCCATATGATGCGCCTCGCGGCTACACGGCTAGGTCCGCAGCACCGCGCGACCGCGTCCATCTCGGCAGCGCATGAGCTACACTTATATCAAGACGAGTGCTTCCTAATCCTGCCTCTCCACCAGCACGGCTCGCTTCTCGACGTCGTCAACTTCTTTAGCGAGACGTCCAAGAACCCCATGGACGAACCGCTGGCCATGTTCTTCGCCATCGAACTGCTACGCACTGTCGAGGCTTTGCATAGCAAGCAAATCCTGCACGGCGACCTCAAGGCCGACAACTGCCTCCTACGCCTCGACGATAACTCATCTACCCCCACAGCCCTCTCGAGCCAATGGAACGCCGACGGCTCTGGCGGCTGGTCCGACCGCGGCATCGTGCTGATCGACTTCGGGCGCGCGATCGACATGCGGGCCTTCGACGCGGACGTGCAATTCGTGGCGGACTGGAAGACGGACCAGCACGACTGCGCCGAGGTGCGCGAGGGCCGCCCCTGGACCTGGCAGCTCGACTACCACGGGCTCGCCGGCACCGTCCACACGCTGCTCTTCGGCAAGTACATGGAGACCGTCCGCGTCGACCAGGGCGGCCTCGGCACCTCCGCCTCCCGCCGCTACAAGGCCCGCGAGCCGCTGAAGCGATACTGGCAGACCGATATCTGGGCTGAGTGCTTCGATGTTTTGCTGAATCCGGCTAGCCATGTTGATGGCGAGGAGGGCAGACGCATGCCAGTTACGAGGAGCTTGAGGCGCGTGAGGGAGAGGATGGAGAGGTGGCTGGAGGGGAATTGTGAGAAGGGGGTGGGGCTGAGGAATTTGGTCGCGAGGGTGGAGGGGATGGCCAGGAGTCGGAGGCATTGATTAAGACACCCCCCCCCCCCCCCCTCCCCCTTCGCCGCCGATAGAAGGCGCTATATGAAAATGAAAGAAGGAAGGAAAGGAAAGGAGAAATATATGATGACGACGACGATGACGGCGGCGATACCCGCATTTGCATAAGCAGGTTACACCTAGGCGTTGGAATGTGATTTTTCTTTTTTTTCCTCTTCCTCCCTTTCCAAACCCCTCCTCCCTCCCCATCTTAACCTCGGGCCTGATGGAAAAGGGGGCGTTCCTAGGTTTCTGGTTCGGAAGTATAGATTTTTCTCGGGATAGGATAGGATGAGATGAGATGAGATAGAATGAATGGAGTGGGAGTGGGAGTGGGCATGGATGGTAACGATAATGCCATCCGTTAAATAAAAGGGGGAGGTTTGCCCTACTCATTGGTTTTTTTTTTTATATCTCCTTAACATACCCCGATTACGAAGCAGTCTCCTAAATCGATCGATCAATCATAGATTTTTTTTCTTCGTTTAAAAATGCTTTGAATTAAATTTCCGTGCTAGTTTTACATTCGGTGATGTCTGTACATGTGATCATTAATCACAACAGAAGAGGAATAATACCAAGTAGCCTACTATGCAGGCAGGTATTAGGTAGTAATAACCTAGGTTAGACTTTTATTAATCCATTATTACATGATACAATTCATTCATTTGTTTATTCAGTCCGAATCATCTTCATCCTCAGAAACCTCCGCCTTCTTCCCCTTGGCCCCTCGCTTTGTCGTCGTCTTCTTCGGCTTGCTGCCCCTTTTCGACTTCCCCGCATCTACGGCGGCCTTGCGCTCGACCTGTTTGAGAATCAGGTTTCTCTCGCCGAGACCCTCTTTCTGCAGGCGGGCGTCGTGGGCTTTGAACTCGTCGCTGTCGGGGTCCATGCCGATGAGGCTCTCCAGGAGCTTTATCTCGTCGGCCCAAACCTGCTTGTCCTCCACGGCTTTGCCGTTGCCGTCGGGGGCAGGCTTGTCGATGGGGGTCTCGAGGACCATGGGGAGGCCCTCGAAGGGGGCGTGGTTCATGACGCTGTGGAAGGCGCGCAGGCCGAGGAAGCCTGTGCCAATGTTGGCGTGCAAATCCCGGTGGCTGTCCAGCGGCGCCTTGCTGTCGTTCAGGTGTAGGGCTTTGAGGAAGCGGTATCCGACGATCTTGTCGAACTCGCTCATGGTGGCTTCGAAGGCCTCGGGGGTGCGGAGGTCGTAACCTGCGGCGAAGGTGTGGCACTGTGGGTTGACATAGGTTAGTGAATTGTTTGGGTAAGTACCTATCCTGGGTAGGCATATAGGTTAGAAGAGATGGGGCGGGGAGTTCAAGTTACCGTGTCAATGCACACGCCCACCCGGCTCTTATCATCGATGAGCTCGATAATGTCCCGCAGATCTTCAAACGCCGAGCCGATAACGTTGCCCTGCCCGGCCATGTTCTCAAGGACCGTAACCACGTTGCTCGTCATACCATGGGCCTTGTTGAGCTGCGCGGCGATCCGGCCGATGGCGTTGGCCTTGGTATCACCGCCGGTGCTCCCCGGGTGGAAGTTGTACAACTTGATGCCGAGACTCTCGCAGCGCATCAGATCATCGACGAAAGCGTCGTGCGCCTGCTGCGCCTTGTCCTTGTCCGCCTGGGCTAGGTTGACGAGGTAGGAGCCATGCGGGAGACAGTGGTTGCACACCTGGAATTTATGCTCTTGAGCCTGCGAGTTGAAGCCGCTGATGGCCTCTTTCGTCATGGGGGGGCTAACCCATTTTCGGTGAGGTTTAAGGAATAATGCGAATGCATTCGCGCCGATATTAACGGCGTTGGGTATTGAGTTTTGTACGCCTACAAATTAAAAAAAAAATGGATGTGTTAGTTAACATGGGAAGAACTTGAGAGTTGAGGTTATCCATTGAATAGGGGTTTTTATCGTAGGGTGGTACAAACCTCCTGCACTACTAACATGCGCGCCAATGTACATAGACTTTTTAAGGGTGCTAACCACCGTACGCTGAGCGAGGACCATGGAGTCCTCTTTCTTAGCCTTGGTAGTCTTGCGTTTCTTTACAGCCTTGGGCTTTTCAGCGACGACGGCTTCTTCTTCTTCTTCTTCTTCGTCGTCGTCCTCTTCTTTGACGTAGCTTTGGGCTACTTTTCGCTTCTTGGTTGTCTTTGGATCCTCAATAGAGGGATCTTCCTCGTTCTCGTCGATTTCTTTGGTGGGTTTGCTTTTAGCAGGTTTAGTAGTAGTAGTTTTCTCCACAATGGGCTTTTTAAGCCGAGATGACTGGCGAGTCATTATGTGAATGCTTTATGTCACGACTATGTCTCCTTGAAATCAACGCAGTAATCAAGATGTAAGATATCACACTTGCGATATCATAATATTTACATACCAAGTTGCCAATTTCACAAGGTAGGAATTAAGTTTAAGTAGTTAGAGGAATCTGAATTGCAATTTGGAGAGTTCACGACGCGGTTTTGACTTTCTGACGCGAAATGTAGTTGACTCGTAGTCACGTGCTACCAATTAAGCCTTCTACTTTTGAAGGGTAACAAGGGTTTAACATCAAATGGTTGCTAATGGCCCGAGCTCATTATTACTAATCAATCCCCAGACTCGTCGATAAACGAAACGAAACAAAATAAAATAAAACAAAAGTTTACAAAACACCAAAGACGTCAATGTTCCGTGATCGAGACTCATCGAGTAACCTATGATGTACATATAGGTGATACTATACATAGCAAACATCAATTGTTACCAAGGACCAAGGTATGTATGTGTTCATTGTGCTGAGGTAACCCCAGGATTGTAACCGTGGGCCAGATGCAGTATCGTAACAAACGTATGGGGAAGCATGTCCTACCTAATAGTTCCCAATGGGGAGGGACAGTCTCATATGTGTATGAATTGTTTTCTTGGTGTTCTTGGTGTTCTTGGTGTTCTTGGTGTTCTTGGTTTGTTTCTTAGGGTTCCAGGCATTAGGTAAGATTTCCATGGTCTGTACATGGCCCATGATAGTTCCGTGGCCCGTGTATTTCTATTTATTATCGCAATACGTTTCAATTATCCACAGCATCCACAGCATCGACAAAGCGAAACAATCAAGACATCTCTGCGCCGGTGCACGGCTAACTGCGGCAGCCGACAGAAATTGCAAGTGATCACACGACCACCTACGAATTCGGGTAAAGTCCCTTGGGTTCGAGACTTTTAAGGCGTTTTGCCTAGAATGCCTAGAAAAAGCCCAGCCGTGTAGGTGCTGTAGTATGCTGTAGTATGCTGTAGTATGCTGTAGTATGAAAATTGATGTGCCTTGCGTGCAGCGCCGAGGGAAAGCTTATGTAGCAGACTATGGGAACCATCTGCAACCAACTGCAAACCAACATTGTCTTGTAGTTACTACCCAAGTCTACTACCCAGTCTACCCTAACCTAGGTGCTACCCTAGGTACTATAGGCGACCAACCACCTGTAGTTTTGGCTCTCAAAGTGGCTTTTTCAACCAACCCGGACCTATTGTAGCATTGAATAGCTTACCCAGATAGTACCTACCTACCGCATGTAGGTACATACATACCACGTAGATAGCGCGGGGGTTTCAAGCTAACTAGGTACCTAGCTCGCTGTCTTACAGGTTCTTCCTCGGCGTTCACCATCCTGGACCATCCTGGATGCTTGCATTTTTCTGCATTCTTGCATTTTGCATCTTAAACGAAGGTCGGCCCGCAGTAGCCTCTGGTCTCGCCTCTTTGTACCTTTACAGCTTAATTATGAGATAAGATACTTTCTGACAGTTCGGAAGGAATCAGCTTTTCCTAGCTTGCTGCAGGGGTCTCTGCCGAATCATCTGGCCCAAGGAAGAAACGTGTCTGAATTCATTCTTCTTATTGGTTCATCTATGGTTGTCTTGAGATCCAAAGATCATTGTTCTGGGTCTTCGGACTACCCTCATCTAATTTACGTCAATGACAGACCATACTATGTACTACACATAAGTTAAGCCGTGAAAAAAAGAAGGAAAAAACTTGTCACGTTTGGGACTTCCGCTTTGGGACGTCTAGACATTCTATTCTATTTTTTTTTTCTCGTACATATGTACATATGTAGTATTCCCTGTTGAATTAAGATCGTTACATGTACCGTTGTACTGCTCTTTAAGTTCCCTTCTTGTCACGATCATCCATATTCATCCATTGATTGCTCATGAAACTCGTCACAGAGGAGTACTTGGCTTTCTTGGCTGTGTCACTCGATACCTTTGATTTACTGATTTTCCAAAATACTTTTCTATCAGTGGTGAGCACGACCCATTGATCCGTTCTGATGTCGAAGGTCGCTGACGCGGGCAATGCAGCCCCATCGCCAAGAAGGCAAGTTAGACTCGCATGGGTACGTAAAGTCGGTCCCCTAAACAGATATTATGGGATTGTGGGGGTTGACAAGCTTACCAGTCAGGAGCCAAGATTCTGCATCGTGCCCCCCGGTACTAAGAAGCTACTAGGAAACTACAAGAGTATCGTACCTGGGGCCTACCCAGGGTAGGTAGATATTCTTGCCGCTGTGGTACTCCGGTAGTATTTGTTAGTCTGTGCCGAATCGTAACATGCATACAATCTGATCTATGGAAACATAAACCCTTCGTGAGAGACAAGCTCGCCACGGCTGCCCCGTACATAGTAAGGGATTTTCCCACTTAACCCCGTTTTCCTCGGCTCGCTATTTAACTATGAGCATTGCCAATCTCGTGGAAGTATAAATTATTTCCTCTTGTATTCCATCACTGCATCATCCCCAACCCAAAATCCAAAACCTCCGTCAAACTATCTTGTTATATAGTCATCTGGCAAGGAGCTATACAGCATATACAGCATATGCAGCATCTTCTAGTTGTATATCTGTTCTAGATCTCCTCCCTTTGTCTTTGTTTCCGTCTTGCGGAACGGAACACCAACTACTACCACAGCCCTACCGACCTAAAGCCAAGACGGCACCCTAACCAAATTAACTTTTGGAATTACCTATCAGAAAATAGCTTGAGCTGAGCTCCTTAAAGAGCCGACTGGGCTTCTCAATCTTATTTTTCTTTCTTCCATTCATCATTTTGTATCCCTATCATCACCACCCTCTTCTCCGAAGTCATGGCGAAATTCCTTCGTCGCCACCAGGAACATGATCCCCCGATAGGAGAGATTCCCGTTCCCCACGGTCCCGTAACTGGTGACGAGCACCAGCACTACCCTCGGAGATCTTCAGCTCATTATGCGACCGACTACGAGAGGCAAATCTTCCTACACCTGACGCATCCCGATGACTCCTATACGGAAGACGGTGTCTATTGGGCTGATCTGCCCTTTTGGAAGCGCCTCTCATTCGTCACTAAGGTCGACAGGGCTGAAAGCTTAACCGAAGCCAAGACTATCTGGGCGATGATTAAAGAGGATCCCCTTAGCCCAGTCTCTTGGTATTTCAGAAACGCCATCCTACCCGGTGCCGGTCTGGGCTTGGAAGGATACGTACTCTTCTCCATTGGAAACCTAGAGCCCCTATTCAGCGCAGTATGGGGAACATGCTGGGGAAAGCATGGTACCGAGTGTACCAGAAATTGGGTGGCCGCCGTGACATACCTTGAGATTATCGGTATCATGGTCGGTCAAGTGTTTGTCGGAGTAAGTCATTTTTTTTTTTCATCTGAAATCATGTTTAAATTCAATATGGCGAGCAATTGCTAACCATTGATCCCTACAGATTATCGGTGATTGGATCGGTCGACGATGGGGTTTGATTCAAGACGCCGTAGTCATGTTGCTCGGTCTCATCTTGTTGACTGGATCTTGGGGCATGACGCTCCAGGGTTGGGTCATCATGTATGCATGGTCTTTGTTCGTCTACGGTAAGCTATCATGAATATTCTCCTCTTAATCGACCTTGCTAATATTTGTTTTGCTAGGTATCGGAGTCGGTGGCGAGTATCCCATCACAGCTACATCGTCCATGGAAAACGCGGTTTCGGCCGGAAGGTTGTCGACTAGAGATGATCGTCTTCACCGCGGAAGAAAAGTTACGATGGCTTTCTTGATGCAAGGCTGGGGTCAATTCGTCAACCAGGTTGTCCTTATTGTCCTCTTGGTGATCTTCAACCGTGGAAGCGGCAGCCCTCCTTACTCCACGACCGCGGCGCAGTATGCCTTCCGCTTGTCTTTCGCCTTCCCAGCCGTCGGCACGTTATGGCTTTGCTACTACCGTACTTGGAAGATGAAGTCCGCGAGCAAGCACCTCGAAAAGGCTAAGAAGAAGGCAAACGTAACCGGATACGATGTTCGATCCCTCAAAATGACATGCAGCAACTTTGGCGGACGTTTATTAGCCACTGCCGGCGGATGGTTCTGCAACGATGTCTTCTTCTACGGCAACAAACTATTTCAGAGTAAGTCACTAGCTGGGGTTCATTGCTATTGATGTACTATCACTTACACAACTGTTAGGTCAATTCATCAACGTCATTTCTGATAACCCTTCATCCATCATGACCACTTGGACTTGGAACTTGGTCAATGTGGTTGTCTCTCTTGCCGGTTACTACGCGGCATCTATGTTGATTGACAACAAGATGTACGGTAGAAAGACTATGCAACAGGTTAGTAATCTTGCGCCATGGAAGACATTTGCATCACATACTAATCCTTGTATAGGTTGGCTTCTTGATGTGCTTCATCATGTTCGTGGTCCCAGCATTCAATTACCAATATTACACTAGCCCAGCGGGTATTCGCGCGTTCCAGGCAATGTACTTTTTGTCATCCTTCTTCAACCAATTTGGTCCCAACTCGGTCACTTTCCTCGTCGCTGGAGAAGTTTTCCCCACTCAAATTCGCGCCAGTGCCCACGGTTTCTCGGCCATGATCGGCAAGGCCGGTGCTCTCTTAGCGTCGGTGCTATACAACTACATTGACAACCAGACCAAGTTCTACGTGGTCCCTTGGTTCGGTCTCGCCGGCATGCTCATCACCTGGTTATGGCTCCCCGACACTACTGGCCTTGATCTCAAGGAGCAGGAGCGCCGGTGGCAATATATCCTCGAAGGTCGCGATACCGAGTACCATGGCATTGCCATCCACCCTCAGCATCTTTCCATCTGGGAGAGATGGACTGGTGTTGGAAAGAACTACCACCCTGATCTGGACACCAAGGCTAAGATTAGAGATATCCGCGCCGACTGGGAGGAGAGAGAAGCGAACAGAACGGCAAGTGACGAGGAAGCGTCGACGCCTTTGGAGGTTGACGAAGATTTCACAAATGAGATTTACGAGTACTTCAAGGGTGCTAGAACTACCGGCAGCGATAACTCACTTAAGGGCGAGAAGCTCAAGGGCGTGAACAGGAGCAGACCTGCTACAAGTGATAAGACGCTGGAAGATGTTACTCTTAATGAGAAGAACGAGTCATCGTCGTCAACTTAAAAGGGTGTGATGTGGGATATGGGCTCTTCGTCATGAAAGGAGATGTATGGATAAATGCATATATGGGATTTGAGATGCATGATTATATTGAATCGATAGCGCGGCGTTTTGGAATGAGAGAACAGACATTCGAATCATAGATTTGATGAATATTTTGCATTGAAGTGATGTAGGTTAATTGAGTAACTATTAAAATATCTTCCTTTTACTGCTAACCTACAGTGTTACATGTCATCTATGTAGGCTGGTAGGTGCTTAAATAGGTACTACTAGGTACCTACAGGGTTATGGACTTGGTCAAGTGACAGCGCGTAATTGGGGCTTTTGTCAGTCGCGTTTGTAGGCGTCATTAGTCATTAGTCATTAGGTTAGGTTAGTTAATTAGTGCCTTTTTCATCCCGACCGAGGGGCAAGAGCATCTCAAGAACTTCTCAAGAACTTCTCAAGAACATGACCAATTCCGAACATTGAACTGAACTCTTCTACCGGAAATATACACCATCTTCTTTCGTTATGCGAACACGAACACGACGAACTACTTTCAACTTCCCACCATGCCAGTAACGAGCAAATCCAAGCCGATAACCCCCAGAAGACAGTCCAAACTCAACTTCGGCTCAACAACGAATGGGAAAACCCCAATTGGGAAGAAGAAGCCTGCAAATGGAAACATACTCAATTTCTTCCAAAAGGTTGAGGTAGAGGAACAATTGTTCTGCGCTGGACCGGTGAGCGCACCTGCGACTATTCCCAATATTCCCAATATCATACGGTCACCGCCGAAGGAGTTCAAGGAAGATGGAGGTTTATTGGAGGATCAAAATGCTGTTAAAGACTTTACACAATCAGAGACGAGGTCGTTGAAGCGGAGGAAGTTGAGCCACGACGACAGTGATAACCATTTATCAAATAACAAGAAGAAGCCTAACTGCGCTCCCGAAGAACAACAACGAACGGAAAGGGAAACAAAACCAGAACCAACAGATCTTAAACCAACCCAGAAAAAACAAACTCGAAGGAAAGGTCCATTTTTACTAGAATCGGATAGCGAGAATGATGATGAGGATGGTGACGAGGTATTATCTTCTCCGTTGATATGTAATGCGAATACCGAGGAGACAGCTACAACATTGCTAGATAAAAATGAAAAGAAAGTAGACAGTTCAGAGACGGTCATGATACCGATTTGTCTAACCGATGAGGGTCGCCCAGAAATACCCAACGTTCCACCCCTTAAACAAGGGGAGTCTGTCTATGAAGAATTCAAGAACCTCGAGGACATGGAGGAACTCTTTGACGATGCCGAGGAATTTGATGACGGGGAAGAAAACCGAGAGAGGCGTTACATGGAAGAGCAGGCGAGGCTCGAAGCCGAAGAAGCCGGAAACTATATCTCGGATGGAATACCAGATGAGCCCAGGGAGACGGAGGGAATTGTAGAGAGCTGTCCTCTATGCAATGTCAGTTTAGCTGGTATCACATCCGAACAAGCCACAGTCCATGTAAATGCTTGTCTTGATGGCAATCCGATACCTCTTCCGAAGTCAGAAGCTTCACAACCGCCACTACCACCACCACCGCCGCGGAAACAGGATACGGTTGATTCGCCCGAGGTTAGTAAGCGTTTCGCCAAAGCTGCCATACCACGACCCGGCCAGGCTAACCCTATCACTTTGGGAGCCACAGTCGGCCAACCTACTTCAGCCTTCAGCAAGTTAATGTCAGGACATGCAGAAGATGCAGCGTGGGCATCGGCTGCGGCCTCCGAGAATGCCTCTCGCGGCAAGCCTGCTTATAAGCGGACATGTCCGTTTTACAAGATCATGCCCGGATTCTCCATCTGTGTTGATGCCTTTCGGTACGGTGCCGTCCAAGGCTGCAACGCGTACTTCCTCAGCCATTTCCACAGTGACCACTACACTGGCTTGACGGCCAATTGGTCTCACGGGCCTATTTATTGCAGCAAAGTGACGGGGAGCCTCGTGAAGAAGCAGCTCCGCACTGCAGCTAAATGGGTCAAGGAACTCGAGTTTGAGGATACGGTCGAGATTCCGGGAACCGAAGGGGCAACGGTCACCATGCTGCCAGCTAACCACTGTCCCGGCAGCTCCCTGTTTCTTTTTGAGAAGTCATTCTGGAGAGGCCAGAACAAAACGAAGCAACGGATTCTACACTGCGGTGATTTTCGGGCGTGTCCGGCGCAGGTCACGCATTCACTACTAAAGCCCGACTCTATCGATGCTATCTCGGGCAAGATAAAACAGCAAAAAATCGATGTCTGTTACTTAGATACAACATATCTTAATCCTCGATACTCCTTCCCGCCCCAAGACGACGTCATCACAGCTTGCGCCGAATTTTGCAAGTCGATATCTGACGAAACCAGCGACGCGGATGAGCTTTTAGGCATGGTGGCGCGCGAGAAGGGCTCTGTCACCAAGTTCTTCAAGAAAGAGAACAGCTCATCCGCCGTGGTCAAGAGCGAGGGCGCACCCACTCCTAAAGAGCAGAAAGGCCGGCTCCTCGTCATCTGCGGCACGTATTCCATCGGCAAGGAGCGCATCTGCAAGGCGATCGCGCAGGCCCTAGGCACCAAGATCTTCGCGTCGGCGCACAAGATCAAGATCATCGCACAGCTCGAGGACCCGGAGTTGGCGGCGCTGATGACGTCGGACCCGCTCGAGGCGCAGGTGCACATGCAGATGCTGATGGAGATCCGCGCCGACACGCTGCAGGACTACCTCGACTCGTACAAGCCGCACTTCTCCCGCATCGTCGGCTTCCGGCCCTCGGGGTGGAGTTACCGTCCCACCTCCACCTCCTCCAAAAGCCTCCCCGCCAACACCTCCCCCTCCTCCACCCCCACCACCTCCATCCTCCACGGCACCTCCTGGCGCCCCCGGTTCACGACCAAGGACCTCGTCGTCCAGCGCCAGCGCGGCAGCACCCGCCGCGCCATGTGCTTCGGCGTCCCCTACTCCGAGCACAGCAGCTTCCGCGAGCTCGCGCTCTTTGTCATGGCGCTGAGGATCGAGAAAGTGGTGCCGACGGTTAATGTGGGGAGTGAGGCGAGTAGGGTGCGGATGAAGGGGTGGCTGGATCGGTGGGTCGCGGAGAGGAGGAGGGGGGGAGTTGTTGGGGTGGTGGTTGAGGGGGATGAGGGGGAGGGGGGGAAGGGAGGAGGGGAAGGGGAGAGGAGGCTTTGGGATGGGAAGGATGGGAGGGGTGGTGCGGTTTTGTGGTGAGATCATATCGTCTTTGCTAGTGTAGCCTTGAGGAGCAGAGGTGATAGTACTACTATAGATCTATACATACTTTAAGGGGAATTGGACGTCTAGGTGTCTAGGTTAGGTACCTACCTACCTATGTCCCTACGTAAATACTCAGGTGCCAGTATATATTATATATAGGTACTATATAACACCTCCTGAATTGCACATAGGTAGGTACCTACCTAACCTACCTATACCAACTCAAAATCTTTGCGTCAGGCATTTCTTTTTTTCTTACGACCTCTGTCTATTCAGTGTTCGGTAAGCAGCGAACGTCATGTGCATCTTTCCCCCTACCTACTTATCTCTCTTCTCTTCTCTTCTTCTAACCTAACCTACCCCCCCCCCCCCCCCCCCCCCCCTTTATTTGTTTGTGTCTGTGTGCCTTTCTTACATAGTGCGTGATGATACAAGGCTTAGTTAGGTTTACTCAAGTATTACCTAGGATGAGATGGGCAGATATGATAAGGGTAGGGTTACGTAGATTGTCTACCTAGGTAGGTAAGTACTGTAGGTACGTAGGTAGGCAGATAAAATATGGATAGCAAGTTAATAGTTGATAATTCGTTCCCTAGGTATTTTGTTTCCGTTTCTGTTCTCTACCAATGACGCCGCCGCCGTCGCCGCTTCTTCTGCTTGCTTGTTTGGTTCCCAGATGATCTCGATCTACATGTAGGTACCCTTCCCTTTTCTCCACTGCCTGCCTAGGTATCTAGGTACTCAGATATTTTCATCCTCATCTACAGTACTTGTACTGGCTATTTTGGTATTGGTGATGGCGTTTGGTGGATATTGGTTACCTCACTTGCCCTTTCCGGCTGGCTGTGCGGCTTCTACAGTGGCAGTGGTTAGTCTCCTTTTCCCTTCCTTTTATCTCGCTGTGTGTGTGTGTGTGTGTGCGTGGGAAGGGGATTGCCACTGAAATAGATCCTCTTGGGATGCATGGATGGATGGCCGTGTAGGGGTATGTAGGTAGGTGTGGAAATGTATGAACGGGAAAGGGGGGGGGGGGGGGGGGGGGTGCAAGGGAGGGAAAATATGAACGAACCTCTTCGCGTGGCATCTTCCAGTAATGGTACGTCTACGGCGTTGGCAGGGAGGTGGACGTATCTGACGACCGAGCCTCGGATGAAGACATTCTTGACGGAACTCTGGTGGGGTGGTGGTTTGATTAATTAGTAAGGTCAATGACTAAGTTATCACGTCGTTTTATTGTCTTGGGAGGTGGCATGGGAAGAGGGGATGGGGATGGGGAGGATAAGAGGCTGGATAGGAGTTGAATGGGAGATAAGCCCCCTGACCGAAAATACGTTGACATGGGCTGGGATATAGTTTGTATGTGTGGGGAGAAAGGGGGGGCGGGGATGAAATGAAGCGATATCAACAGCACTCGTTAGGCGAAGCGAGCTTCCTTCCCAAATTGAGACTCACTAGATGGGGATACTTAATCTCCTCAACCACATTGATGTCGTCAAGCTTGATGTTGAGGTATTGATCGACGCTCTTGAGTGTGCCACGAATCTGGATGTCGTTCTTGAGCTCGACCGTCACCTCATGATCGATGAGCGTTTTGAAAAAACTGCCCAAGTCCATTTTCGTTAGCGACTTTCTTTTCTTTCCTTCGTTTCTTCGCCAGCGGGTCTTCTTCATATCCCTCTTCCCATCCACTCAAATGCGAAGCCTACCGACCTCCTCCCACGATACCAAGGATCCTGACGCGCAACCATAGAAGTATATGGAGGGAGCAACATTGCCATCGCAGAAAGATCTGGCATCGTTGCAACAGAAGGACTCCATTCTAATAATAATAGCCCACGTGACGAAGTCACGGGGAATAGTATTCACTCCAATCCAGATAGATCCCAGTCCCCCAAGTGTCCTTTCCAGCCTCCTACCCTCCTTGCAAGTTTCCAGCTTGCGACCTCTTGACGATAATGCAGTGTAGCGCCTCCACTTCAAGGAGGAATAGGGGGAAGGAGAGGGAGGGAGGTGTTTGATATAAATATTCCGGCATTTGTTATATGAACACCCCCAGTGCAACGAACTGCGCACCTGCGCACCAGCGCAACCTTGTCTACCCTCGCACTCAAACAAAAAAAGAAAGCAGAAAAGAAACAGGCGATAAGTTCGGTGAGACCAGAAGAAAAAACGAAGAAATAACGTACCTGAAGAATAGCATTATAGCGGTTGTTATGACTCCTGGTTCGAATGGATGGTTGGCATTCCAGAAATCCTCTTGGTTGGAAGCTTGTATTGTATTGTACTGTATTGGTACTATGGATGTATGTATAAGTAGGTAGAGAGTAGCCTGTGATTGGAATTATTGGAATTATAAAAGCGGAACCACCTTGACTTTTTAGGTTGGAATGAGTCACGTGACTCATATTAGTAACTAACTACAGCTACTGCACGGTACTACTACCAGGTACCTAACCTAACCAACGTTCACCAAAAAATTAATTATTTCAACATTTCAACGTTGCTTATCTTGGGCATCAACCGTCCGTCACATTACTGAATCAACTCAACACAACACAACACAACACAACACAACACAACAAAAAACATGTACACATTTTTGCACAAGATATTAAAATACACATACAATGTACCCGCACAAAGAGAGTCATTGAAAGCGCAAGCTGTACTTTGAATTTCCTATGTTTCTGTGCCCTATCATCCGGCGACGGATTACCATTGGAAATCTATGTCCATTCCTGATCGATCCCCAGCGAGGGGCCCAGGTTTCCAGCAACATCCCTTTTCCCCCCAAATTTTAAGCAAGGTTAGGTACCATAACATTCCATCCTTTCTTACTTTCTGTTTTCTTTTCTTTTTGGGCTTTCCCCTTCCGCCCTACTTCTGAAAAATCTACCCCATCATCTTCAATGTTGCTTTGGCGCACCTTTGGTAACCTGACCACTCTGTGTGCCTGTGCCTGCCTTAACAAAAAAAGTACATCCGTCTCAAAGGTAGTTGACACGAGCTAAATAAACGAAGAAGGACAAAAAGATGAAAAACAACGGCAACCAGATCCGGCGAATAGGGGGGGTATCCTTCCGTTTGTCTCATTTCAATCCATGCAATCTTCCTCCCGTCACACCTCCTTAGACCGTATTCCTTCCCTCCAAACGTGCCGACTTATGCAAAAGCACTGAATAAAAAAAGGGGGGTGGGGAGCGAGATAAAAGTTCAATAAAAAAAAGGGAAGAAAAAGGATTGAGAAAGTATCGCGTGGGCGATGAGAAATGGTTTAGGAAAGACGAGAGCGAGTGTCCTGACGCCCCATTGATATAATTCCCCTAGTGAACCTCCGGGACCTACGAGTAAATCAATTTAACTCGCTACCAACCCGCCACTGAAATTCAGTTTATTCAACACACTTTATCCCCCCTGACACGACTCCTACTATGCTCCCATTGCCCGAGACCGGATATGGAAAGGTATAAGTACCTAGTAGGGCTCGCGATTGTCGTAACGTCGTAACGGCTTACAAAGCAAACTGGTTTATGGCTAAGATTGCAGACTCTCTCAGCTATCCTCCTCGGCATCATCATCCTCCTCCTCATCCGGCGTCTCTGGCGCCGTTCTTGCCTTCTTATTCGGGGCCGTAGAGTTGCTATCCGACTTCCTCTTAGTACCAGTCTTGGCGGTTACCGTTTGAACAGCACCCCCATCTTTGTCCTCGCCGGAGTCTTTACTTCTTCGCTCAATCTCGGCGACTTCTTCCGCGGTCAAGAATCGTCCGCCGGGACCTCGAGGTCTTCGCATTGCATGATTGTGCCGCGATTCATGAAGATATGGCTTCCTCCCTTTGCTCGTTAACCGTAAGGCTTCCTCTAAACGTTGCCGTGCTACTCTTCTCTTAAGAATACGGTGGAATTGCTTCGCATTGACGTATAATGGCGATTCTTCAGCGCCTGCTGTCATTTCTGGGGATTGGGGTGGGGGCATGGATTGCGTTGGAGGCATTGGGGGTGGCGCAACGGCAGAACGTGCACCAGCGTGGTTCATCATAGACGCATTCGGAACACCGGGGCTTGTGACTTGGCTCAGGCGTCGTCCAGGGAGTTGGTTTACGTTGTTCATTTGCTGAGGTGATCGAGGATCGCGCGAGTCTTTCTTGCCTCCGGGTGTCATCCTCGGCGAATTTTGGGGGAGACTTGGGTCCGAAGTCATGTATCCCGAGTACGTAGTTCCGCCGGCAGCGGCAGCGGTCGCGGCCATAGCAGCCGCCTGGATTTGGGGCACACCGTAGTGCATCCCTTGCTGGGGCACGCCGTATTGTGTTTGATACATGCTGTGTCCTTGTCCTGGGGTCGAGTTTTGGTGTTGTGATGGTAGGATTGGCGATGTTTGAACGCCGTGTTGATGTATGTTGTGACTCGTAGGGGAAGTAATGTTATTTCCAGCACCTGAATTGGTGTAACCAGAATGCGCCGTCTGTGGTGGTTGTTGGTATTGCGCGTAGTCCATCATTATCGGGGACAGTCAGCGCGCGGGGCGGCGGGGGTTTTGCAATACCCAAATATCGATGTCTCTGTTGCGATGCGAATCAGAGACAAGTGGGTAGCTAACAATAATATCCGTTGGCCACTAATGGTTTGCGAGTGGTACAGGCTATTGCTGAGATGATGAATTAAAGACCGTGCAAACTAGTTTCGAATTTGCTTGATGTCCTTCAGATAAAAGGCTGTAGGGTTGGCTACAGTTGGGCACAACGCGTTGGGATGGGCCCTTGGTCACTTAGGTAGCCGCGAAAGTAGGCTGGATGTGCATCCAATCTATTGGATATGCGTGGATGAGCTGGCAGTAAGTGATGTGGTAGGTGCACGCAGAGGGTCGCACCAGGGCATATGCAAAACCGAATGTATCTCGCGGGGTGGGATCAAAGTGGCTCAGATCCTAACAGAAGCGCACCTTCACAACCACGTGAGAATCCGGGGATACGTGAGCCGCTATGAGGCTATTCAACTCGACAACGAGCCTATGAAAGTGTTCTGCGGGAGCGGGTAGCCTAGCAAAACAGCTCGAGGTTGTTCTCGAGGTCTATTCGCAACGCGCTGTCTGATTGTGGAGATCTATCCAACCAGATATTAGATTTTCCCATGTTAAGTACATATGATGGAAACTCGGATGATGGGGAGGGGGGGTGGAGGGGGGGGGGGGGGGGGGGGGGTGAGAAATTGTTCTTTTTTTCGCGCTGGGCCACCACTTGATGCGCTGGCATGCATGACGGAATATGCACAAGCTAGGCCCCACCCTGTTGACCAGCTCATACAGAGCGACAGGAGATCCGACTCCATTGCCCAGCAGTGGCGCAAGGCGAAAGCTGCCCGATGCTAGACCCTGTAAGAACGACATGCTCTACTTTTGTAGGTATTTTGGAAGCTATCCCACAAGAGCTTCCCATGCTACATGCAGTTTAAACAAAGAAATAAACTCTCGAGGCTACATCGTTGGCGATTGGCCAAGACGTAGATGCATTTCTCGGAGACCTGCGCGACGTGCCATGTACACCTATGTAGCTTGTTCTGGAAGGGACATTGTATTGCTAGCCACACTTGGGTAACAAAAAGGTGTGCGGGAGAAAAGGGACAAGATAGGAAAAGGAAAGGGCCGACATGAGTTACGCAAGAATGGATGGTTGGTGCCTTGAAAGGAGGAGTTTGCGACTTGTAGAGGGTATACCCGATCGTCAAGCCTTACCTTAGCGGGAAAGAGACATAGTGGTGTGTGAATGTATCGTTGCAGACGGACGGATGGGGATAGAGGAACAGCGATGTAGATGCAAAAAAAAGATACATACCTTTTTTGGCAAGATTCCAAGTACTTGGGTTCACGTGTGCAAGGCTGCCAAATTGATGGTACAGCTCGCGCCTATATGGATGGAGGATGTCAGTGAGCTACTTTATGAGACCAGGCAAGAAGAACATAAAAAAGGACAAATGATAATAAATGGAACGAGGGGAAGAATAGCACTATGCTATGAAAACGAATGATGGATGAGACATTGACGAATAAGCGCATTGACAAAATCAATGTACCATTCCGGGGTAAGCTTGCGACAACACAATATGATGAAAATAGTCAAAATAGCTAGGTGTGTCCATATGCCGGGTTTATGGTGACTCTCGGGGATACTCGCGTAGAGGAAGCCTACGTCGGTGTAAAAGGAAAGGGTGTGCAATGAACGGCAGGTAGATGCAGCAAGAGAGAAAGAAAAAGAAGGGCAAATACCTAATATTATTGTATGTATCGCGTCGCAATAGCTTTAAGAACGATTCCGGCGCGAGGGCAACAAGAATCACGATAGAGCTCTGATTGAACAGAGGGAAACCTTGACAATGGTTGTCCGCAGACAATCCCAATCACCTGATAAGTAAATAGAGCCAATGACGAGGATGAAGCTCTGTTTAGAGACGATGATAGGCTTCTCTATATCTATTTGCAAAAGCGTTAGTTATATAATGGGCATCAGAGAGCTCGATGATTTGCTGGGTTTGGGGTGGATTTCTTGTCGCCTGTTTGCGCTGAAGCGCTTACTGGCTAGATTTGTTTCTTAGACTTCGCCCCCATGTGATTGCGAGTTCAAGATTCGACAGTCAAGGACTACATATGTAAGAGACTCAAAGGAATGGGGTTCAGTTGACCGTGACTATTCTAAGAAAAAAAAGACAAAGGAGAAAATAGTACGCGCCATACCTTTTTTAGAATCTGACGACAGCTTCTTCGTCTTTCTTTTGTTGTTCTTCCTTTTTTTTCCCCGTTAAGATGGTCTTGTTGCGCGCGCGCAATTCCCAACTGAGGTCTTTGCGGAGTTGGTTTACAATACGGTAGGTAGCATGTAAAGTTTATCGGTTGACGGTTACGGTTACACGCATCTACGATAGTGTATCTGCGCGTAACTCGACAACAATGCCGACGATCAGTATGGTCAGTATCGAAGACGATAGGCGCCTATGCAATAACTGTTTGTATGGCGCGTCTTGTGTTTTGTGCTAGTTCTTTGTGCTTGTACCTGAAGCTATCGGGTCCTCAGGTGACCAAAGGATTGTAACTGGACAGCGAAAAAGTGTGTGGTCCAGCCCAGTCAGCCCAGATATTGCGGAGCGGATAAAATGGTAGGACAAGATCAGTTAGGGTACTGTATAAGGTTATAAACAAGGGCTGGCGGAAGGCTCAATTTGATTCGATGTTTTTTAGAAGAGACTTTCTGGGAGCTGTTTGGATGAAAAAGACAGAGCGTGGGAGAAAGACAACTGATTCGATGGATTTTTGAATAAGTGGTGGACCAAGAGGGGATTGATTGGTGAAAAATGGGCAAGAGGCAAGTAAAAATCGAAGGAAGGCGGGCTTTGAGGGGGCCAGAGGGGCCCGACTTTTTAATGGGGCTGCATCTGTGACTAATCAGCTGCCATGTTGAAATCTTCGATGTGGATATTTTATGGGCCAGTAACCCGCTTTTGTGCCAACGTAGGGATAGACATGCCTAGGTTAGTACCTAGCACTGAGCCTGTGTACTACATGTACCTACTATGCACCGGCGTACCGTTGTATCTCTACCCGTAATACCCGTAGCATTTATTGTATTTATTGTATTGTACAATGTACACAGGGCATAACTCAACACCGTAGATACACTGTGATTCCAAACTTGACCCTTGTTCCCGCTAGGAAATTTATGTGGCGGCTGGGGCTGGTGGTCATTCTACCTAGTACATACATGGTTAATACGTTAATTAATACATACGTTAATAGTTACCAGTGACATTATTAGGTAGGTAACCGTACCTCGCTTCCATTGATTTTGCTCCATGTCACTGAACTAGTTTATTCACCTCAATTCTTCTTTTATACGCTCTCTTTTCTCTTGCAACCTTTTAATTACACGATCCAAATAGGCACAATTTGATTTTCATCACATCTGATATTCATACAATCACTTTGTGTGATTACAAGAACCTGGCCCACCTTCATTTTATTCCGACACACACCAAATACGACGCATATGTACCGTAGTATGTATGCACCGTAATCCAAAGAAGCTTCCTTTCCTTCTCATGCTTGCTTACGAGACTTTACCTAACGACATGGGCACGGGCACGCTGGCAAGCGCGTTTTTTTTATGCAGCTGCGGGAGGTCGGTGGCTGGGGTTCCTATTCTGCTCCAGCCCCCCTCCCTCTCTCTCAGATCTATCGTTACGTAGCCTGCTTGACGTGTCAGAGTCCCTCGTCCTTCGAGTGACGGGAGAATCATGTCTGACAGGGGGGGCTCTTCAAGTCCCCGCGCAACAGCTTCACATTGCATCTCATACGTAGTACAGCACCAAGAGCTTAGCGAAAGTACCTACCCATGATCACTACATACATCTGGGCAGGCATCAGGTTGCAGGTGGTAAGATTCAGCGGGGTTTTACTCATCGTGGTCACTTTCGGCTTTACCAAGAACCAAGGATGAATGCCGGTCAGTGGACGCTGGCGATAGTCTAAACTTTCCCAATTCCTTATGAAATCCAATCTCTTTTTTATTATACGGTAATCGGAAAATATTCAATATTCATCCACGGCTTGCCCTTTCTACTTTCTACTACACCTAACTACCTACCTCTGCCTATACAGCAGTTGTTTTATGCGCAGCTCAAGCTCATAGCCTACAAGCTCGGTGTAAAGGCATCCAGGTAGGTACCTAGGTTAGGTGGTATGTATTGTACAATGCAATACAATACAATACAATACAATACCTACATCGGGTACTAAAGGTGATAACCCCTACATCGAATATGAATCCCCCAGATCGACACCAGCATAAAAGATGATCATTGTGGCGTGTGGCGACACCCGTCGTTATTCATGCCGAATATCCAAGGTTATCGTCCAGTCATCATCATATTGTTTATGGCCTTGTTAAACGCGCAACAAATATGTATGTACACTGGTCAGACGAAAGAACCGAAACGAGCTTGGCTGACAACACGACCAAGCTTAGGAGACTAGAGTCTGGAAGCACTGAGCTCCATCAGTCTAAATTTAGGTCACTTCCCCATCCAACATCCACGTAACGTGCGATGTGCAGACCTACTCACTTGGATTTTTGTAGGAATTGGCAATGCCCAGGTGCTTCTTGCTTAGGTGAATACAGTATTTCAACTGCCTGGTTTACACGTCACGGAGAGGCTGGGCCCGTCTAGCTCCGTTCGGCAGCGAGACCAGGAAGTGCAGAAGCGCTATATTCATAAATGTAGTATGGACTCTGGAGGTGATTTTCAACACTACGACGTACATCTTCCTGCTTGGTACTAGGTACTAGTTAACTAGGCGGCTCCAATATCTGCATGTCAGAAATCACAGTATGGAGTTATGTCGCGCGAATCAAGACACTGTATAAAACTCGTACACAACTTCCTTCTCCTTCTGTCTTCTGTCTTCTGTCTCCTGTCTCCTGTTGGATGCATCATTCTGACGGTGAGCAAAAAGAG